TTTACTTCCCAGTAACACATAATCTGGTTGTCCCACTATCCAGCCACCTCTGATTGAGTTATACCACTATCCAGCCACCTCTAATTGAGTTATACCACTATCCAGCCACCACTAATACGTTTGTCCCTCTATCCAATTACCCCTAATTAGGTTGTCCCACTATCCAGCCACCACATATGAAGTTGTCCCACTATCCAGCCACCACTAATACGTTTTTCCCTCTATCAAGCCAGGTTTTTTGTAGATATATTAACCTTTTTCTACGCAATATTTTCGTGTCGATTCAGCAGTTTTACAGACATTTATTTTTCTGATGTCGAAGGTGGTTGTACCTAACCGAGGGTCTACATTAAAATATGAACGAGAGGGTTAAGTGCTAGTAGTTCATGTTTACTCGGTCTTGTTAAGTCATTTCTAGATCTAAATCCGAGCTGACATCAAATAACCAAGCCATCTTAATTTTTGAACAATACGATATCATTGATCGCGTTACACCTACATGGACTTATGTTTAGGTTATGCTAAATTGCCTTTTGTTATACTAGTATATTTGAGAAAGATTTGGGCACGTATTCATGAAACCGTTCTCGTGCTCAAAGTAAGGATTCGGTGCTCTAAACAATCTTCATGTATCTCGCTAAAAGCATGTGGCATGGTAAAAAAAGTAAATTATAAACAAGGAAATCGGTTTTCAGTCTTACCATGTAATTCTTTCCAATTCTGTTATCCAAATCATCGACAAAATATGACATTTTGTTAATTTATCATCGGCACAAGGGATTGGGCTTTAATCTGAGTCTGCGCATGAGAACAGTTTTGTGGCTACGGGCCCGGAATATATTTTCTATGAATATGAAAAATTATGGGATTTTCTCTTGTCAATAACCAAACAGTGGACGGTTAAACGTGATCATGAACAATTGAGGTAGACAGTAACGATTTATTTGATGGGGAATAATGTAATAATTTTAATTTTAACGACATAGAGTATGTGTCCCATAAAAACTGTCTCTAGTTTCATAACTGGCCCATGACGACCTCTTGGATTACACCCACAACAGTGTGTGTTCGTCATACAACGGCTTCACAAGTATGACTATGTACTCAGTAGGGTTGGCTTGGGTCGTCTGTTGCCAGTCTGCGAAACAGACGGTTTGATAGGTGACGCAGACTCCCGCCTATAGGATTAGTAGTATCCTTCAATGTTCGCCACAAAGAGATAACCGATTTGGCAGAAATAAATTGTCAATCAAAAGAGCGCAAGAACATGCAGTTTTAAAATCCGTGTCCGATTGTTACGCCTATTACAAAGAGTGAACATCGTCTAGTGACCCAGAAATCTACGGATGTCCATATCAGGTTATCATGCAACCTGTCGGGTTTACATACGCTGCATCTTAAACTAGACTGTTTAACTTAATCTGAATACATATGCACAGCGATCACATTGCTTCTTGAAGAATAAGTTGGCCCAATGATTGGTTTGTACGTATTAGGGGGGACCGATTTTTACAAATACCATATTAACTGCAATCGTTAACCACTTTCTTTTAGAATTCTGGAAAAGCACTTATTTTAGCGGGCTCTTTTTTTAGCCTATCATCGAATTTTAAAAGATACGCGGATTAATGAATTGGTGCATTCACAATGTACGCAATAGAAAACTAGATACAGAAACTTCAATAATCGCAACCATAAATTTGTGCGTTATCTTAATTCCGAAACTCACCTAAATGAGAATACCCGTAAAATATGTTTGCTTATGCTACGTTTACATTATGTTCCCGGTGGCCACAGCAATCACGTTTCAGGCTAACGTGGCCGAAAAAGGATGGACTTTAAATAACGCGGGGGGACGGGATGGGCCAACGTGACAGCAAGGTAGGGTGCACGTGTATGGTAGCTGTTTCATCGCGTTCAATCCGGCGCGTCCCGGTGTGTGACGGTTTGCGGGCCCGGCGCGTTGCGTTCTACTACGGTCTGACACGGCGCGCGTGCGCGCGCGGTCTGGGAGGGAGTATATAAAAGCCAAAATCCCACGGCGCAATACGTTTCGTACACAAAATCTTCTTCATCTTGGGAATTCATGATGCTATCTCCTCGATTCGTCTCACGATATAATGATTGCTTTTGCTTGGGAGGCCTTCTTGGGAACAAACGTGCTCCAAAGCTGACCGGTGTCCACGTTTCATCCGTGGAAAGCCTTGACAGAACGTGAAAAACGTGTCGGACCTTCATCAGAACGTGAGAAACGTGAGGGACCCCATCAGAACGTGACGGGCCTAGAGGAAACGTACTGGCATCCGTGGTAGACCGCGGGCCGAACCGTATAGTGCGCCTTGGAGCCTCCGGGACTCAGCAACCCCTTTCCCCCCACGGTCTGTCACGGATACCGTGACAGACCGTGGGAAAACTTGCCAAGACTTGAATTCAGAGAAAAAATGGCCAAAATCTCACGGCGCACTACGTTTCGGGCAAACGGGACCGGCGTGGCTGGTGGGAACATAATGTAAACGTAGCATTACAGTACTGATTTGGGCAACACTGGTACAAAAAGTGAGAAAACAAATTCATAATATGAAAAAGCTGCACGAGTTACTTTTTATGTAAATGTCTGTGCTACTCATCTTCTGATTCTAAGTCTGATACTTCACAACCAATACCTTATAGTTACTAGATATGAAGATAAAGCTGAATTATTCAGTAACTGTTTTGTAGTATTACTAGAGTAGATACCAGAAACACTGATGCCAAAAACTGACAAATAAATTAGTTCAATTAGATTAAATTCGAAAAAACGCGATGTTCTACAGATATTGAAGCTCGGCAAGACCTCGGGTGGGGATAAAATCAGACACCATATGCTAAGAAATACTGCTCACACTGTTTGTACTCCCCTCAAAATAGTACTTAGTATGTCCTTATTAACAGGGATTTATCCAAATAAATGGAAATTAACTACAATCATGCCATTGTTTAAAAAAGGTGACAGACATTCTCCTTTGAACTAAGGACCACTTTCTTTGGTGTCCACTGTTGGTAAAGTTTTTTGAAAGAGTCATTTTTAAACATTTGTACAACTACTTTATAGAAATTCTTTGATTTACAAATAACAGTCTGGCTTTATGCATGGTCATTCTACAGTGTATTAACTCGTTGATATTTATCTCCAAATCTGTGTTGAACTTGAGGAAAGAAAACATACATATTGTATTCTTTGACATATCAAAATGTTTTGATAGGGTTTGGCATAAAGGTCTAATGGTGCAGTTAAAATCGTACGGAATTTTAGGTGAATTGCTTATATGGTTATAAAATGATTTGTCTCAGAGACAACAAAGGTATTTTTAAACAGTTCATATTCTTCTGTAGGTCTGATTGAGGCAGGCGTTCCGCAAGGCTGTATTCTTCTATTTCTTCTACTTAAGGATTGAATCTTGCTTTAGTCGATTTCATGAGGTGATGTCTTGAAACAAATTGAATGAACTGCGAAGAAAGAGTTCATGTTGAAATCGACCAGAGCAAGATTCAATCCGTATATTTCAATCAACGTGTTTTTTTCAATAATTAGAACTTGTGAAGTCCATTCTGACCGTTTGACTATGGTTCTAGAGCTTGTGCAAGTCTACGTATTGATGAATGTAAAAAGATATAGTTCGTCATTGAAGGACCATCATACAACATGATGATGTACGCTGATAGTTCAATACAGCCAAATTATGTAGAAACAAAACACAAAACCATATTTTAAATGTCATATTTAATTTTTGTTGATGAATTCATAAGATATCAAATTTCCTGATGTGTCATCGCGGAAGAATAATGTCTAGACGCGGTGCACACGCTCAGCTGCGAGTCTACGGCAGCCATATATATTAATAGCCCGAAGTGGAGAGCCGCTAAATTTCGAGGTTTTACATCTTCTGGAATGTGAAGCTGCAGTAATTGAATATCGAATTAGACAGGAAACCAGACGTGGCTGGAAAGGACGAAACATTTAATATGACATTTGGCTGTTCGACTGTATTTCATATAACCACATGGATCTACCACAGGGATTCGTTACAAATGTCTGAACTACACATATGATATACTGGTTTGGGTCACAGCACACATAAACATACATTGATACGTATTTTTACGTCTGCTGTGACCTATATCAGTTATAGCATGATAGTGTATTTCAGACATTTGTAACGAACCCCTGTGGATCTACGTTGAATTACACAAGGCAGAATGGGTAGCTGGATGGATAATTTCTAGGTCAGTACATGATTTGTCACTACCGCTAGCAACCGTGAGCAGATAATAATATCCTGATTGATCTCTTTTGGTTGTTTATACATGTCAATAGTTATCTCCCTTTGCAAAATCATACGCACAGTGGTCAAATTCATCGGCAAATGAGACAGGTTACATTTGGTAGTTGTATTGAGTAGGAATTGAAATATTCATAAATGACATAACCGATATTTTTTAATCAACGTCTCGTCTTTTTGCAGACGATACATCAATATTAAAGTCATCATCATCTTGTCTGGAAATTCAAGAAACATTAAATAGATACCTAGATATCCTAAATATTTGGTTTAAATCCTGGTTGGTTAATTGTAATCCTGAATAAAATTCCATTGATTGGATTAATAAGATTTGTCAATGAAATGAACAAATATTCCAAGTTTCAATGTAATATTTAGATTTTAGATTTCACGTTTATCAATGACCTGTGAAATGACAGCTATATAATCCCTGGACCAGCAGGTCACGAAGCCAGCGCTGTACCAAAGTTCTCAGGTGTTGAGCGCCCAAATTCTACACCCAAAGGTAGCATTTCCCTATCCAAATTACATATGATATTATCTATTAAACTTGGAAACTGTCATTCATTGAATAAGGCGACTAGACGTAACACCATCAAAACGCTTAACGCATTTGTGTGCGGCATATCAGAGTACTTAATTGCTACACAGTGAACAGAGTACGCCCAGCAAGTTCCCTAAAAAGAGACCTGTTATTCGCACAGTGTCGCAATAGGAGAGTTAATACCATAGGGCGAGTCGAGTGCTCCCCGTCATTTCATATAAGCGGCGCTACCTGACTGTAGCAAATCGAGCACACCGCAAAACTTGTCGGATTCTGAAGGACTTAGGTGAACATGGATATTCCTTTGCAACTGGTGCTGACCATCATGCTGGTCAGTGTAGTGGTCAAGTCAAGAGCTCAGATTCACCAGGTAGGTAATAACAGTAAAGTGGTACAGGTATATACATAGTAACATAAACTTAGCGTACTTTCACAATAGTATAGAGTATCGTTGTTTACTACAGTTTAACTGCTAAAACATTGTTGAATTATTGAAAAAATATTTTCTTTTTCAATGCATCGATATCTTTTAGTATACTTGTATATTGACTAATCGTAAGCCGTGTGCCATAATCTTCCTGTGGTGAATGATTTATTACAAATGCAACATTTGTGTATAAGTTGTAGGGCGTTTTTATACTTCTGTGCGTCGCCTGAGGATTACAAATGTTATAAACATTTGTACAAAAGATGATCTTACACATACTTCTAATGCCCCAAACGTCTGAACAGATTTACTGTGCATAGACAGTGTTATTTACACCTGCCGTTTACACTAATTTCTCTTGCATATTTAATCTTAGTAAACAACACCATTTATATTCATCGGGGGAAGAGATATGGTTTTAGTACAGGCTCGTTTTTGTACATTAAAAGAAGGAAATATGACCTTGTCTTGTTTATAAAATGGTCTACAAACGAGTGAGGAGTGGGTGACTCAAGTTTTGTAAGGTCGAGTGGCTCCTTTTCACGTAAACAAAACAAAAGTCCATTCAAATTTATCTCGTGTGTGGGTCGCATTTGTACAGGTGTTTTGATCGGATGAAAACAGACTACACCGACCCATATTTACGCTCCGAAATAGGTTAAGGTATAGCGTGCGTTATCAAATAGCTCGCGTGACAGAAGCTACGATGAACGTTAAACAGCCGAGAAGTCGTGTGATGGCGATATCCAATCATATTTTTAAATCATTACTCGCTCAAAAAATATATACAATGATTCATCAAAATACCAAGGCAAGCATTGGTTGTTAGAAATCATATTGGATTTGTATGTGCCAAGGTCGTTTGTGTTGCGCTTACAACCTGAAATATACCGTACAAGTACAATGTGTGTTGCATACACACAAGATTATTTCACATTGAAATTTGTGAACATTAAAATTGCATATCAAAATTATACATAAATAGGCAAAAATATCAGTATGTACATTAAAATAATATATTAGATGGTGACATTTGTATTATTTACTTCAAGGCGACAATATGATAAACTGTGATTAGTCTGTCCCTCTCGTTGCCTGCCTTACCTCTCGTTGCCCGCCTTACCTCTAGTTGCCTGCCTTACCTCTCGTTGCCTGCCTTACCTCTCGTTGCCTGCCATACCTCTCTCGTTGCCTGCCATACCTCTCGTTGCCTGCCATACCTCTCGTTGCCCGCCTAACCTCTCGTTGCCTGCCTTACCTCTCGTTGCCCGCCTTACCTCTCTTTGTCTGCCTTACCTCTCATTGCCTGCCTCACAGTCACAAATTTGACTACTTATTTTGTCGAGATTAATATGTTTGCAATTTGTTGGAGAAACAACAGAATAGTGTGAATGGACAGTATCGTGAAAATGTTGTAAGGGACAATTGACATTTTTTTCCTGAGTAATCACACACTCCAGTCACTGTTCTTGAAATGACTAATTAGTTGATATTTATTGAACAATTACATGTATTTGACAGTTCAAGTAAAAACATCAGCAAATATTAAAAATATGTAATACGGATTTCTGAACTTTTTGTTGTGAGATGATTGCCAAATATACTGAAACGGTACAACAAGTTCTTCCTCTACTCTTAGGTCTGTCGACAGAGCTCCTGTTAATGGACCTTGTAAGTCTGTCGACAGAGCTCCTATTGATGGACCTTGTAAGTCTGTCAACAGAGCTCCTGTTGATGGACCTTGTAAGTCTGTCGACAGAGCTCCTATTGATGGACCTTGTAAGTCTATCGACAGAGCTCCTGTTGATGGACCTTGAAAGTCTGTCGACAGAGCTCCTGTTGATGGACCTGTTAGTCTGTCGACAGAACTCCTGTTGATGACATGTAAGTGATGGACCGTGTAAGTCTGTCGACAGAGCTCCTGTTGATGGACCGGTAAGTCTGTCGGCAGAACTCCTGTTAATGGACCTTGTAAGTCTGTCGACAGAGCTCCTATTGATGGACCTTGTAAGTCTATCGACAGAGCTCCTGTTGATGGACCTTGAAAGTCTGTCGACAGAGCTCCTGTTGATGGACCTTGCAGGTCTGTCGACAGCGCTCCTTTTGATGGACCTTGTAGGTCTGTCGACAGAGCTCTTGTTGATGGACCTTGTAGGTCTGTCGACAGAGCCCCTGTTGATGGACCTTGTAAGTCTGTCGACAGAGCTCTTGTTGATGGACCTTGTAGGTCTGTCGACAGAGCTCTTGTTGATGGACCTTGTAGGTCTGTCGACAGAGCTCTTGTTGATGGACCTTGTAGGTCTGTCGACAGAGCTCTTGTTGATGGACCTTGTAGGTCTGTCGACAGAGCTCTTGTTGATGGACCTTGTAGGTCTGTCGACAGAGCTCTTGTTGATGGACCTTGTAGGTCTGTCGACAGAGCTCTTGTTGATGGACCTTGTAGGTCTGTCGACAGAGCCCCTGTTGATGGACCTTGTAAGTCTGTCGACAGACCTCCTATTGATGGACCTTTTAGGTCTGTCGACAGAGCTCCTGTTGATGGACCTGTAAGGCTGTCGACAGAGCTCCTGTTGATGGACCTGTAAGTCTGTCGGCAGAGCTCCTGTTGATGGACCTGTAAGTCTGTCGGCAGAGCTCCTGTTGATGGACCTGTAAGTCTGTCGACAGAACTCCTGTTAACGGACCTTGTAAGTCTGTCGACAGAGCTCCTGTTGATTGACCTTGTAAGTCTGTCGACAGAGCTCCTGTTGATGGACCGGTAAGTCTGTCGGCAGAACTCCTGTTAATGGACCTTGTAAGTCTGTCGACAGAGCTCCTATTGATGGACCTTTTAGGTCTGTCGACAGAGCTCCTATTGATGGACGTTGTAAGTCTGTCAACAGAGCTCCTGTTGATGGACCTTGTAAGTCTGTCAACAGAGCTCCTGTTGATGGACCTTGTAAGTCTGTCAACAGAGCTCCTGTTGATGGATCTTGTAAGTCTGTCGACAGAGCTCCTGTTGATGGACCGGTAAGTCTGTCGGCAGAACTCCTGTTAATGGACCTTGTAAGTCTGTCGACAGAGCTCCTATTGATGGACCTTTTAGGTCTGTCGACAGAGCTCCTGTTGATGGACCTGTTAGTCTGGCGACAGAACTCCTGTTGATGACATGTAAGTCTGTCGACAGATCTCCTGTTGATGGACCTGTAAGTCTGTCGACAGAACTCCTGTTAATGGACCTTGTAAGTCTGTCGACAGAGCTCCTGTTAATGGACCTGTAAGTCAGTCGACAGTGCTCCTGTTGATGGACCTGTAAGTCTGTCGACATAGCTCCTGTTAATGGACCTGTAAGTCTGTCGACAGACTCCTGTCGACAGAGCTCCTATTGATGGACCTTGTAAGTCTATCGACAGAGCTCCTGTTGATGGACCTGTAAGTCTTTCGACAGAGCTCCTGTTGATGGACCTGTAAGTCTGTCGACATAGCTCCTGTTAATGGACCTGTAAGTCTGTCGACAGACTCCTGTTGATGGACCTGTAAGTCTGTCGACAGAACTCCTGTTAATGGACCTTGTAAGTCTGTCGACAGAGCTCCTATTGATGGACCTTGTAAGTCTGTCGACAGATCTCCTGTTGATGGACCTGTAAGTCTGTCGACAGAGTTCCTGTTGATGGACCTGTAAGTCTTTCGACAGAGCTCCTGTTGATGGACCTGTAAGTCTTTCGACAGAGCTCCTGTTGATGGACCTGTAAGTCTGTCGGCAGAGCTCCTGTTGATGGACCTGTAAGTCTGTCGGCAGAGCTCCTGTTGATGGACCTGTAAGTCTGTCGGCAGAGCTCCTGTTGATGGACCTGTAAGTCTGTCGACAGAGCTCCTGTTGATGGACATGTAAGTCTGTCGACAGAGCTCCTGTTGATGGACCTGTTAGTCTGTCGACAGAACTCCTGTTGATGACATGTAAGTCTGTCGACAGAGCTCCTGTTGATGGACCTGTAAGTCTGTCGACAGAGCTCCTGTTGATGGACCTGTAAGTGGAGATGTTATAACTACTACGATGGTGACTGATTTCGGCCATCTCGCGCTGTCGCATTGTCGTGGGCGCCAACGCGACAATGCGACAATCAGCCACCATTGCAATGGTACAAAATGCGGGTTCTCGGAAAACGCTAGGAAACCAATCCACCTTTATTCCCAGCAACAGTGGTTGGAGTTTGTGGTTACTGTGAGAAAATTGTCAACTGACTCTCTTACAGCTGAATGCATTTTATAAGGTTTGGATATAGCACTGCTTCTGTACTGTTCCATCACATTGCTAGTAGTTCAGTATTTAAAGACAAAAGATATTTTTTCTCAAAATGTGTTACTTTCCCAATTTCTTTCTGGTTTTAAATCGAAAAAAGATGTAACTACACAAATTAGAAGAAGTGGGATGGTTGAAAATGATCACATGAAGAATACGTTATGAACTTCATATCATTTAAATTTTGCGATTAGCTTATTCAGAAAATGTATTTGCGAGGATTCAAATTTTCGAAACGCACTTGAAAATATTTGCATTTGCTCTGCATTGCTCAATACATAACCCAAGTCATCTGTGATTCACTAAATAAAAGATACATATCATGCATACGATGTCCCACATAAAAACCCATAGGACACTGTGTTTCATTAGGAGACCAAAAATCTAATTTTAAAATTGTGTCAAAATCATTTGGAATTATAAACAGAGGTATTGAACTGCGTTCCGTTTTATTGGCCTTGAACAGAATTGCATTTAATGCTTAAGGGTCACTGTCTCATTGCATTGTGGTTTTTTCCCTATATAAAGTAACCTCCCCTTAACTTCCGTTTGGGTGTAACTTTAGAACAGTTGGACATAACACTTGTATTGTCTAGAGCGATAGTATATCAACCTGAAGTCCGGGGTTCGAATCCTGTAGATTGTTTAACCTTCAGAACTCGGT